GACTGGAGGTTATTAAATCGGACCGGGAACCAAAACGTAGGCGACTGTCAAACCGGGAGAAAGGGGAGAAAAGAAAACGTCCGGAGTGCTATAACCCTGCGCGCAAAAGTAAATCCCACGGAACTCCACGCTGCTTTACAAGGAAGCGTGCCTGAGATGCTTGAGGGGAGGGGGGCTATGAACCAAGAAGGTGAAAGGACCGATTTAAGAACGGGGTGGGCGCGGAGGTGCCTGCGTGTGGGTAGAGGCCAAGGAACCTATTAGGCGTTCCGCAGATTTGGCGTGGGAGAAATTCAAACAGACTGGCAGGCCCGTTCATTCCCGCAAAATCCCAAACTTCCCAAGTATGACAAAGAGTGGAGTTTCCCTTTCTCCTAAAAGTCCGGATCCCCATCTTCTTCAGCCGATGCCCTTTCCCGCTGGGCGACCGAAACAGGCCAATGGCTCGCAATTTGAATCCGCTTCCTTCGCTCCTCGCCCTCCCGGGATTTTCCTCCCTTTCTCGAGCTTTTGCCCCCTTCTTGGAGAAACAAGCACCGTTTTCTGGGGCACATCACCTTCTCTAACAAACGGGGCTTCTCGGAAGTAACTGCCTTGGGTTTCTAGGGCGCTTCCTTCCACTTCTCTCTCTCTCCGGCCGGTTTCATCAGACGACTTTCTGCCGCCGCCGCCGTTTTCCAGCTCTCCCTCCTATAATTCAGGTAATTTCCATGGGTAGCCCCTTCGAAGAGAGCATGTCTAAAGCAGTGGTGGCCAGCGAGGAGATCGTCTGAATAAATCAATGCGTGTCGGTCTGCGATAACACAAACTAAGATCCTTCTGTTCTCACGTTACTGTGAGGAGTACGGCGTGGGCAAAGGGGACGAGCCCAGCTTTTAACCTTTACGGTACATCGCATTCTTTATTGGGCGATGCCTCAAGGTTCCTTGCTTAAGAGAAAATAAAAACCACGTCGCCTTACTCTACGAAACAGTTCGATAACTAATGTTGATTTTAAAAAGATTAGGAACAAGTGCAAAGAGGGTTGCCTTTGCCTCATGAACTAATAAGGATCCTGGTTCTTGGCTGAGTGAAAAACCCCTCGATCGGTTGGCCTGGAATAATAATAAGGCAAAGGAGGTGGTAAACTTTATTGGGCGTAAACAGCAGGGGGAGATAGTAATGCGCAGCCATCGCACGTGAGAAAGGACGACACGGATCGCGAAAGCTGTGCTAGGGTAGAGAGAAGGATCTCTCTCCAGGCAGAGAGAAACCTGCAGTTTTTGTCCCCCGAGAACGGCCGAGGCTTCACCTCCTTACCCGGCTGGTTTTTAATTCCAAGCCGACAGCGCGTTTTTCTTCACGCGGCCACTTGGGGTCGCGCTTTATGTCCGTTTGGAGCACAGCAGAGCCGCCGCGAGAGAAGAAGGGGAGGGGAAGGAGCTAGACCGCCTTAATCTCCCTTAATCGTTACAAAATGTTTAAACAAAAACACCCTCGATGGAGCCCCCCACCCCTTCCACATACTTACACGCACGAGAGAGAGAGAGAAAAAAAAATAGTGCAACATGACTTCTTCTTTGCATTGCCGTTATTGCAGAAGGGGAAATCACGGAACCTCCCCAGAAGTGTAAAACCACAGCGCTGATTTCCCCTTTCCCGCACCGGGGGCTCCACAGCGTTGCTATTTTGCAAGCCCTTTCTAACGTCAAGGAGGGGGGAGGAAGTCTCTCCGCTTCCCTTGCAACGCGCACATGCGGGACGGGCGCGCGTACGATTGCAAGGCTCTTGCCCCGTCGGGCTCCGGTTCCACAGACGCGAACGCCTGCACGCAAGGAGCCCCGCGACTCTGCTTGCCGGAGTCTTTCTGCCCAAACCTCCCACTCCTCCTCCCCTCCTTGCGGGCAAGAAAAGTTGCGATCTCTCACATTATCGCTGCCTTTTCTTTGTGTGCAAAGCGATCCCGGTTTCCGGGGGGGGGAAGGCGTGGCGGGGAAGGGATATGAGTGGTTTCTCGGAAGGAGTTTAAGAACACCAGAGCAGTTCAGAAAATTCGATACCCAACGACGGGCAGGGCACGAGGGCTCGGCCTGGGACCGTCGATTACAAAGCCATGGACAGGGGCTGGAAGAGGCCGGGGAGATGAAACCAGGAAAGATCAGCCGGTCAGCCCCGCTCGCCTTCGGATTGCCGCCGCCGCCGCCGCCGCTGCTGTAAAAGCTGGTCCTCCCCAGCTGCTCATCAGCTGACTCTGCCCGCGAGCTGTCACCCTGCTTCCAAGCCCGGGCCCCGCCCCCTCGGCTACCCCAGGAACTCCGCGTCCGAAGCGCGGTTGGTCGGCGCACTCGCCCGGCCCCGCCCCTTTCGCCCCGGTGTCATCGGGAGCCAAAGCAATATAAAGGCGCCGAGGCGGCCGGCTTGGCGAATCACAGCTCTTCACTCCGCGCTGGAGGCTGCAGGCGGGGAGCCGAGCGCCCATCG